AGAGGTTCCATTTGACCCAGCTATACCTCTCTGGTATCTTTCCAAAAGAATTAAAAGCATCATCCCACAGCTATATATACACACCCATGTTTACAGAAGCACAGTTGGTAATAGATAAATCTTGGAAACAGTCCAAATGCCCATCAACTGACAACTGGATAAAGAATTTTTTTAATACAATGGAGTACTACACTGCCACAAAGAAGGATGAGCTTCAGACATTTATAGCTATGTGGATGGACCTTGAGACCATACTCTTTAAGAGAAATAAATCAGACACACATGTTTGAATACTGCATTGTTTCTCTGGTGTGAGAAACAAAAACTGGAAATAAAGACTGAAATGTATAACAGATGGCGGGAAATAGGAAGAAAATGTTCAAATGGGAAGGGGAACAAGGAGGAAGGAGCAAAAAGAAGGAAGGGACAAGAAAAAAAGTGAAAATAGAAGGAAAAAATAGAAACAAAGCTTTTGTGTATGGGGAGGGGGGAAGGGATAAAATAAAATTTATATAAAACAGTATTTTGTATCTTTCTAGAAAACAGATTAGCAATATCTGTTAGTTTTAAATGTATATACCCTTTCACATAAAATTTATGGATGTTCCTATTTGCATAGAGGATGTCATTGCAACATTGGCAGATACAAAAAGATTCATAGATAAGGAACTAATCAAATATATCCATTCATTGAACTATTATGCTGCTGTCCAAACTGAAGGACACTTTATATGCTTTTCCAGAAAATAAAGTGAATACTCTGTAACTCATCCTATAAGGCAGTGTGTAATCAAAACCAGATAAAGATTATCTCAAGAAAATTATAGACAAATATTCCTTAAGAATATAATTGTAGGCCTGGGATTTAGCTCAGTGGCGCTGTGCCTGCCTTGCAAGCGCAAGTCCCAAGTTTGATCCAAGGTACTGCAAAAAAAAAGAATATAATTGTAAAAATCAATAATATATTATCAAGCCCAGTCCAGCAACAAAGAAAGAAGATAATTCACCATGACCAAGTGAAATTTACCACAGGAATGCAAATAGGTTCAACATGAAAATCAACCAGTGGAGGCCAAAATCACATGGGCTTCATGCAGAAAAAGCATTTGGCATATGCAGCATCCTTTCATGCTACACATTTTAACAAATTCTGAATAGAAGAGACCTTCAACTTGATGGAAGGCAACTATGAGAAACTCACAGCTGTGAGATTTAATCAAGTTGTCTGCAGCAGAAATTCACTTATGGTCACTGCTTTATAGGGTTCCTTTTATAATTATACCACAGATTTATTCATCTGTTGTTTTTGCCTGTTCATTCTTTGGATTTTAATAGTTCATCGGTAGAAGCTAAATATTTATCCTTGAGACTAAAAGTTTGTGGATCCTTTTAGACTTTCTACATACATAACTACGTACCCTGTGAATAATGCCAGTTTTATTTCTTCTGTTTAAATGTTTTTCATTTTTGTTTTGTTTTTTGAGACAGGCTGTTGCTATGTAGGCAGGCCTTGAACTCACTGTGTAGCTCAGTCTGGCCTTGAACTTACAGCAATCCTCCTGCCTATGTCCCCCAAGTGCTAGGATTGCAGGTGTGTGCCATCATGCCTGACTTAAATGTTTTATTTTTTCATTCTCCTTATCATGCTGTCTAGGACTACCAGTAGAGTGCTGAAAAGAAGTGGTACCATAAGGCATCCTAGCATGCACAGGCCCTGGGTTCAACCCTCAGCACCTCCAAAAACACAAAAACTGGCAATCACCTTAACCTTAGTGATCGAGGTTAACATCACCAGCAATAAGTCACATTGATATCAACAAGGGCACATATCTCACAGATTCCCCTCTTAAATCCATAGTTACAGCCTACTCATGAGAAAATAGCAGGCAAATCAAATTTAGGCACCTTCTCCAGTGAGTGTTGAGATTATGGAAAGACTGAAAAATTGTCACAATTGATGAAGACCAAAGAGACAAAAATACAGTGTGGTATCCAGGAGAAAAGAATGTAAATGGAAAACCTGGTGAAATCAAAAGCATGAAGTCTTGGGTTGAATCCCTACAACCATGATAAGTAAATAAATAAATAAATATATAAATAAAATTTAAAAGAGTAAGAACACTTCTTCTGATGAAGGACCAGTTGTTTCTTTAATTTCTCATCTGTCCTGGAATAATACTTTCGTAAAATGTAATAAGTTGCTATGAAAATGAAAAAACAAAATACAAGTCTTAGTTTATATTAAATGTGTCTGCCATAAGATCACTTTTTTTTTTAAGAGTAGGAAAAATTTATTGGGAGAAAGATAACTTCTGTCTAAAAGAGACAGAAAGGGGACTGGAAAGTGGGTTGCCCCAAGATCACTTTTCAAATTCCTGTACAGCTTCTAAATACTCTCAACTGCTATACTTAACTATAAGTACCTCATTGAGAATCATTAACAATTTGTGAACAAATGGGAGTCCACAAACCAAATTTTGGTTAACTCTGCTCTAGATTTCAAAAATGGATATGGATGGACGTATAAGAATTCGTGTGTTAAAATTTGGTTATATGAGAAAGATGCTTTTGTGGATGGGTAGGAGAAGTAATGTCTATGATCCCACAATCCAGTGGCTGTAACTGTGGAGCTTACACAGGCACTGGGAGACACAAATCCTGTTTAATGAAAAACCGAAAACAAAAAATATCCAAAGGACGATGTTTAGGTAAAATAGTACTGTTTTTTCCTTCCACTGTCTGGCATACAATAGTTCCCTTATCCATGGGGGTTACTGTTCCAAGACCCCAACAGATGCCTGAAATCAAACATAGTTTTGATCCATAAAATACTGTGCTGTTTTTTGATACAAACATACATGATAAATTTTAATTTGTGAATTAAGTACAGTAGGAGATACTCAGAATGCCACACGATTGAAAGCTCAGGAATTGCTTATTTCTACAATTTTCCAGGTAGTATTTTCTTTCTTCTTCTTCTTTTTTTTTTTCCTGGTACTGGGGATTGAAATCAGGACCTTGGGCTTTCAAGGCAGGCCTGGTGCCACTGAGCTAAATCCTCAGCCCCTCCAGGTAGTTTTTTTAACCAGAGTTGAACACAAGTAACTAAAACCACAGAATATGGAACCATGGATAAGAGGGGACAACTGTATTTAATTTTACCTAAAGTCTGTTCTTGTCTTTACTCACGGCAAATATAATATGGCCTTGCTCTTTATTTCCAAGGTAAAAAAAAACATTTTACACCCATTCAAGAGTCAACAAGACTGAATCTATTGAGCAAGTTAACCTTTGCTTGGCTTTCCCCATCTCTATTCCTCTAGCTTTAGTACTGTGCTACAGATCTAAAATGTCCCTGCAAAGTCTCATGTTTAGAGGAGTCTAATGGGATGAGGTTTGTCACTGTGGGAGTGCCTGTGGAGGGCAATCTCCCTCCATGGGTCCTCCATTCTCTCTCCTCCCTGACTTCCATGAGAGGAACACCATGCTCTTCCACCATGACCTTCTTCCCTAGGAGCCAGCCGACCATGTACTGAACCCCCTGAACTGTCAGCTATATTAAACTCCTCCTTTAAGTTGTGAGTGTCAGTATTCTGTCCCAGAAACCAGAAACCTGACTAATACACTTAGCTAGGATATTTTTGTGAACTTTTCAGACCATGGAAGACAGATACCTAGAGATTCCTCCTGCCCTTGCTCCACGCTTTTAGGAAAGCAAAAGACAAGAATGAAATGAGTGCCTTGTGCATTCTAGGCAAGTACTCTACCACTGATCTCTGCCACTGGCCCTTAAGTCACTTTTAGGAAGATGCCATGCCATGATTCTCTGTATGATTTCTGGGTAGGACTATGGACCATACATTTCAAATTAACCTCAACCAGTACCTCCAATTACAAGATGCTTATGGAACTGGGACCCATAAGATGTATTTAGAACCTCTGCATGAAAATGAGGCACATGAGGAAGACTAAAGAATGACCTATCAACATGTATCAGTTCATGGCCTTTATCCCTTACCTGGGGGAGGTCACAGGGAATCGGGTAGAAAAGGTAAAGCCCTCTAATGATTTAGCCACATGAAACCTGGGCAAAGTGAGAGCAAAATGCAGTATACCCAAACTCCCCAGATCTTTAAAATTCACTTATAGGCCACAGTACAATGGTATTTTTCTGGGTGAATGCTACCTACACAGGACAAAAATACTTCTTATAATGTTTCTTTACATCTACAATTCCTTTTTTCTTCTTTTGCCTCTGCCTTGCGAGTGCTAGGAAGTCCTTAATTTTTGAACACAGATGTTTCCTTCTGATACCTCAGAAGAAGGGACATGAAAGAATTACCTCTCCTACAGGTTAAAATAGGAAAATAAGAAAGTTCTAGAACTTTTATTTAAGAGGATTAGAGTCTTTGTTAAGTCCATGGATGTGACTGTTCCACTTCTCAACATGTTTTCAGCTTTGTAAGTTCCAACTTGAGAAAGATCTTATCATTGTGATTTATTTCCAATAATGCCAGTTATCATACTGATTAGTGCCTGCAGGGCACATGGAAAGGCAGAAGGCTCATTCTGCTCTCAGTGCCATCGCTTCTCCTGACTCATCTGGGAACTTAGCTCTGACAAGCACTTTTTCCAGGACAGCAACCTAGTGTTGTCCTGGCTGCATCCCAGAGCTTTCTAAATGCCCTGCTGCCCTGTTGGCTCACTCTTCCTTCCCTTGTTCTTTCTCACCAAATGAGTGATCTTTAGCTCTCTATTCAAACTAAGTGCCTCTAACATCACTCTTTGGCCTCCTCCTGGAAGGCATGGGAACTGAGGTCCTAGGCCAGCAAGGGACATGGGAATTCTAAAGGCTGGGTTCAAAGAGTCTCCACTAAAGGTGGGGTTCACTTTCTTGCAGTTCTGTGAAGAATTAATGTTAAATCAGAGAAGAAATAGAACATCCATATTCTTCCCTCTTGGTCTAAAGCCACACGAGAGCAGAGGCAAGGCTGTACTTAAGACACTCTGGCACTTTATTTGTACAATGTGAGGAAGGAGGTAGCCACATACTTTCAGGCTTTGCATCTCTAGCTTAAGTGGTATCAACTCGCCCCTGAGTAGTGCACTCTCATTCCCAGGACAAAAAGTATACATTGCCCTGTGTGTCTCCCACAGCAAGCTGCAGGGTCGAGTCAGGTCTCAGACATGGTTCCAGGCAGCTCACTGCCCCTTCACATCGGAACAGGCCCAGCTAAAACAGGAACAGAAACAGGGGAGGTGAGGGCCAGCTACTCACCTGGGCTCTCCTTAGTAACTTATTTTGTTTTCACATAAATAATTGCTTTTTTAGAAACAGGTATGTCACTGCAAGAGGAATGAAAGAAAATGGAATCTTGATCTTGCGCTTTTCTTACCCAAATACATTCTCCTGTAACATCCCTTCAGCCCCTTCTTGGAACTGGGTTTGTACATACACACACACACACACTCTTACCAGTTGCATACTGGGTCTGTCCCACAGCTTAACATCTCTGTCCTTCGAAGCTGTCACCAGCAACTCAGGCAGCACATGGAGGGCTGTGACAGAGTCCGAGTGAATCTGCGAGAGGAGGAGGACAGTGTCATGGCGAGTCCTCAGTAAAGGAAGCACTGAAGTCTGCTGTGTCAGCTTACAGCCTCCTCCTTACCTTTATGACCATTCCTTCTAACTCACCTTTCTATGCAGCTGCGTCTTTAAATCTGGGACCTGTGGCCACTTATCCATGCTGGCACAGTATGGGTCTGTCCCTGAAGCCTGGACTTCAGGTGCTGCTACTTTTTTCTGCCGGGTGTTTCCTGTGGCCCATTCTCCTTTGCGGGTGCATCCAGCCAGCCTCCACAGCTCTCCATCAGAGCTGGCACATAAAAATGATGACTCTGCCGTTTTAAGGACAGAGTTAGAGCCAGGACGGCACCTCCCAGGATCTGCCCACCTTGCCTAGGGCACCACAGGGCCCTCTGGTCTTCCCATCCCACTCACCAGATTCGGGCTTGGCCTGAGTTATCACTACTAAGGTCTCACAAAAATTTTCTCAATTCAGGTCAACTTTGGGCACTTTTCCAACTCTCCTGATTCCTTTTGCTTCTGAGAAAGGATGGGTAACTTGGATTAGCCTCTGCCCATATCTCACAACTCTGCCAGGCAAAGCAACAGTGTTCTCTTCTAGGATGGTCAGAACTTTCTAAACACAAGCTATAACATGGATACAGTACAGGACACAAATGTTAAATGCCTAGCTCATGGAATATATAATATTTACCCACACAATCACTCCTAGATCAATAGATGTAGACTATTTCTATTACCCCAAAAGTTGCCCCTTCCTAGTTCAAAAAAGGCCACCACCAGAGCTAACAATATTCTGACTTCTGTCACCATAAATTAGTTCTGCTTATTCTCAAGTTTTATTTGAATGAAATTATATAGTAGGGACTCCTTTGTGTCTGGGTTCTTTTGCTCAGAATAAGGCCTATGACATAAGTCTATGTTGTTCCTTTCATTGATATTCAATATCACATTTTTTCCCATCATGTACTATTCCATTGTGTAAATGTACCAAAATTACCCTCTTCCTGTTTATAGACATTCAGGCTGTTTTGGCCTTAATGAATAACACTGCTACAGACATTCTTGTACTTATCTTTTGGAGAACATGTGCACTTATTTCTCTTAGGTATAAAATTAGGAATGAAATCACTGGGTCACAGATAGGCTTTGTGAATAACTTTAATAGGTATTAGGTCAAGGCTTTATAAGCTTTCAAGGGACTTGAACATCTAGCTGTGGAACAACCAAATCACTCACTGCTGCATGTCTCTGAGGTAACTGGGGAACATAATGACAGAGACAAAGTTGTAGTCCTTACCCTTAAGATGCAAATACAGTGATGAGACAAAGAGAAATGAATACTGCAATTAGAAAAACTTGTAGGTTTCTGATTCCCATCATTTTTTTGAACAGTAGAACCCTTTTTTTATACCAATGAAATCTTACATGGAAAACCAGTAACTCAAGTTCTAAAGAAGAGCTGCTCTCTCTGAAGAAGAATAGGGGGATTTGGAGCCAACTGCCTTTCCTTCCCCTTCTTCCCTGTCATGAACTGGAATGTATGAAAACACTGGCTCTACACGAATGTCTCACACATACCCCAACGGGACTTACTGAGAAGTAAAGAGATACATGGTAGTATCTTGTGCTCAGGTGGAACACACCATACTCCTTGTGGGTAGACAGTAGTATAGGATGAATTCCAACCCTGTTCCTGGTGTATAAGAAAGGAAGAAGCTGAGCCCAGATGACCTCTCTTCGGGATTCCAGGGTTTTCTTCTAAGTTAAACTCAGGTAAGCACTAAAGCACTCTTTTGCGTTCTCTAGCTCAGGAGGAATAAGCATTGTGGATCTTACCCGATTATAGACGGAGCATTCCCAGGCTGCAGATGTAGTATTTCCATATTCGCTTTGACCAAGATGAGAGAATGACCATCAGGGGCCAGGTCCATACTTGTCAGGACCCCTAAGTCCTCTTGTAGAACTTGGCTCAGGCAAAGACTGTAGGTCAAAAAATGTACAAGGAAAGATCCTACTTTAGCCACCCTTGGACTCCTTAGGTCCCCATGCATTCCACACAAGTGAAGTACAGAGCAAAATGCATCACCTTCCCAACATAACCTGTTCATTTTTGCTTCTTTTTATGGTGCCAAGGATCAAACCCAGGGCCTTGAGCACGCTAGACCAGCCCCTATCTTCCTAAGATCAGTATTCGTGTTTATCATCACCCTCCCCTTACTTGCTCAAACTAGGAACCAATGACATTCTTCTCTTTCCCTTCCATGTCTAACTCCAGCTGATGAGTGAGCTCTGTGCATTCTCCCGGCAACACATTCATACACCTGTATTTTTCCTCTCATTTCGACTGCCCAGGTCAGGGCCCACAGTATGTCCTCCCTGGGCTACAGCAGCAGCTGTAAAAGGTCTCCCTATCTTTGGTCACAGCTACTATCCATCTATCCTCTATACTCCCACCAGAGTTTTCTCTCACTAAAGTTCTTTTCTTTAGAAGAGAAAGTTCTTTTATCTTTTTGGTACCAAGGATCGAACTCAGGTCCTTGTGCTTACAGGCAGGTGGCGGAAACACTGAGCTAAATCCCCATAAAGTTCTTTTCTTAGTAGTTATTTACTTGCTTTTGAGACAGAGTCTTGCTATGTAGCCCAGGGTGGCCTCAAACTTGTGGCAATTCTCCTGCTTTAGCCTCCTGAGTGCTGGCATTACAGGTGTGCTCCACCACTCCCAGATTCTCTTACTAAAGTTCTGATCATGAGGATTTGTCAATGTTGTTCAGTGGCAGCTGTGTGCTTAATAGTGTGTGCGAGGCCATGGGTTTGATCCCCAGTACCAAAAGAAAAAGAAAAAAAAAAGGAAACCAAGCAAGCAAGACAAATTTCTCAAAAAAATTTTTTTCCTGCATTCTTTTGTTGGTTTGTTTGTTGGTACTGGGGATCAAACTCAAGACCTTGTGCTTGTGAGGCAGACCCGGTGCCACTGAGGCAAATCCCTGGGCTGTGGATTATTTTTTTGAGACACAATCTACCTTTATAATTCAGGCTAGCCTTCAACTCACTACGTAACTCAGGGTGCTCTTGAACTCCCTAGTGTTGGGATTACACACATGCACCAGCTTTCTATTCGAGTCTTAGATCTGTGCCCTCTATAGCTTAGCATCAGTTTATCTTTTCAATCTAACCCTTCCCCCCCTGCTCTTCAACCTCCCCCACTACCCCCGTCCTCACAAATTCATCACGAGTTCAGGCTGTATGTCTTTTAGTAATGCTACTTTTTCGTGAAACACCAACCCCTGACCTCGTTTAGAGAACTCCTATTCATTCTCTGTGGCCAACCTCAAATATCAATTCTGTCCTACAATTTCTCCAATTCTGCAGCCCTGAAAGCTACTGCAAGCTTCTTTAGTTAAAAAGTAAAATTCAGCTGGTTGTGGTGGTATATGCCTGTAATCTATGCCCTCTGGGAAGCATAGGCAGGAGGACTGCAAGTTTGAGCCCAGCCTGAAGAAAATGAGACATAGTGAAGCCCTTTCTCAAAATAAAAACTAAAGATCTGGGGATGTTGCTCAATATGACCCTGGATTCAATCCCCAGTACTGTTAAAAAAAGAAAAAAACTGATTTGTATCTGGTTCACCTGGTCCAGAGGTTAGCATCAAATAGACACTTGAGAATAATTCATCTAAACTGACATGACCAGGAGCAGAAAACATCTCTTGCTCAAGAACTAACATCCTCTTGACCTGTTCAGAAGCAAACATGCATTCCTACCACATTCACCCAGCTGCTTTGTTTCACCTGAAAGTTGTGGAGGTCAAATCGCTCTCGAATTCCACGTCCCACCTGCTGATTTTTTCATCAGCACTGAGAACATAGAAGGTATATGCTGACAACCAGATCACAGCGCTGACACGGCCTGGAGCCTGGTGTACATAACAAGTTCACATCAGTACTTCTCAGGAGCCAGGGCTACCCTTTCCCTTCACAAATACATATGCAACCTCTGCCCCAGCAAATACCATGAAGCACATGGCCAGGGCAGAACTCACACAGAGAAATGAGGTTGCCCCAAGTCACCTGTGCTGTGGCCACAGCCTTCGCCTGCTGCCACAGGGTTAATTCCCCAGCTTGATTTCCAGACACAGCCAGAGAACCGTCCGTCGCCCAGGCTATAGCAGTGATGGCTGCAGAACTTCTAGGTACGTTTGTGCCCTCTGGAGAAGAAAGGAAGTCACCCTTAGGAGCTGGGCTACTCCTATGATACCAGAGGTATCAGGCTGCCCTTGACCTGCTGTCTCAGCAACACAACCCTCTTTGGCACCTGTTTCTCCAGGTCTCACCTGCTTGCTTAGGTACCTGCCAGAGCCGCACTGAACCATCCTCTGAGGCAGTCAGCAGGAGGCCTGAGCTCTCAGAAACAGCAGCTGCACTGATGGAACCACTGTGTCCCAGGAGGGTGTGTGTATGGTACACCTAGGAGGAAAGGATGTGGATGTGCTGCTGGGGACTGACCCACAGGAAGGTGTCCTTCACACCACCTCCACCTGCCCCATCCCCAAGGTCTTGCAGGACACTCACCGAGAGTGGATGCCACAGCCGTGTGGCCCCATCCAGTCCAACAGTCACCACCAGAAGCTCTGATCCAGGCTGTCCAGCTGATAAGACAAGGAGTCAGAGTCAGCAGGAGGAATAACACAGGTCACGGACAAGAGGCAGCGGGGAAGGGCAGGTGGCTGACACTACACTACCTGGGTGGGGATCCAGGGCAGCAGCACAGTGGCTGATGGGTCCTGAGTGGGCAGGGATGCTGGTCAGCTCCACACCTCCATGGTCCCACACTTTCAGGGTCCCGTCACGGCCCACAGACACCACATGTTCTTCCTGCCCCCAGAGCACAAGATCAGAACTCACAGGGGAAAGACTCCCTCCACAGAGGGGAAAGCTGAACATCAGGGATTCGGAGGATGTCGAATAGGGAGGATCACTCAGGAGCAGTGGAGTTGCATGGCTCTGGACCACAATCCTGGCCCGTGGTCATGATACTAAGATGCTGCTTTCATGCTTCCATTGCTGTCTCCCCACATCAGCCCTTCACCCCATCACCATCATCTAGTCCCAAACATGTCATTCTTTCCACTCTTTTTGCTTTTGGGGTTGCATTCCCAAAGCCCCCAGCCCAGTGACGTTTCCACTGCTTTCTCACCACAGCCACCACGGCGCTCACGGCACTCTGATGACCCAGGAAATGACCAAGCTGCTGCCCCGACTCCGGGTCCCACAGCCCCACAGAGCCATCACTGGAGCAGGAGATCTGTAGTCAGCAGGTAGAGGAACAGGGTTCTCAGCATCCCTCTAGCACTTTCCTATGTTCTTCCCGTGGCGCAGGGGACAGGAAGGCTTCTGCTTAAGAGCAGAGGCTCTCCTGGGGCTGAGTCCTAGCCCCACCCTTCATCGCTTTGTGAACTGGGGCAAATTCATGTCTCTGGGCCTCGGGTCTCTGTTTCTCAGCTTTTTAGGGAAGATGCTGATAACCTACCCATCTGGTATGGCTGTTGTGGGGCTGGGTGCGTCTGTAGAAAGGACTTAGCACTCTGCTTGGTACTCACCACAAATGGAATAGTCTCTAGAGTACTTGTTATTAACACAGGATCAGCCAACAAATCCAGACAAAGGCAAAAAATCCACAATGCTAAGGACAGTGTGGGCTGCAGTGGGATAGATTATAACTGACCTATTCCAATGATATTCACACCTTTCTCGTCTCTTTTTGAGGATGACACGAGGACTCCCTATCGGGAGACTAGGCTTCATTAGCCCTTGTACGTACTTTGAGACTCATTTTGACTAAGTGTAGCAATACGTGCAGAGAGCTTAGTTCAAGCCAGGTCCATACTAATTACTCAGTAAACATCAGCTATGCCTAGTATAGTGGGTACTAGAAAGGGAGTAAAATGGGAGTCTTGTCTTCCTCCAGGAACCCTGCTAGACTCTGTGCTACCCCACACCTTCACTCACCAAAAGATTATCCTTGGTCCAGGCACAGCCAGTGACCCAGTCACGGTGACAGGCAGGGAAGGAGCGAATCAGAAGAGGGCTTTGTGGTGTCCTCACGTCCCAGCAGAGGAGACTCTGGGTAGGTTCCAAGGAGAGCAAGCCATCAGAACCACAGGAAGGAGGCAGATACAACAGGGATACTTTGAGCAAGAAGCTGAAGGAAGGAAGCAGTGCAAGAAAGTGCAGTAGGACAGATGGCAGGAGACTTGGCAGAGCAGAAAGCAGGAGGAAGCACTGGGAAAATGGGCTGTTAAGGAATCCAGGAACCAGAGGGCTCGGGACCCCAGGATTGCAGCCTTCAGCAGCTCACCCGGTCCCTGCCCCCAGTGGCCAGGCTGCCTCCATCCATGCTGAAGCTACAGCAGCTTACAGGGCCCTCGTGTCCCCGGAGCTCAGTACCACAGGGAAAGTCTTCTGTCTTGTGCCACTGTGTCAGCAACTGCTTTGGCCAGAGCCGTACTGTGAAATCCTCTGCGTTGGAAAGAGAGGACAAGGCTTCCTGAAAGAGGGCAGAACATAGGCCTGGGAGAGGGGGACTGAAGCCATCATGGGGCTGAGGGAGATGCCTGAGGCTCGGCTCCGGGAGAGGAAGGCAGTGAGTTACAAGGGTGTGGCCAGGCCTGTGCCAGAGCCACTCATGTGGTGATAACACTGGGTACTGCCAGCTCCAGCTCTGCAGCTCCCGTCAGAAATGTGGCTTCCTGTCTCTCTAACACCCCACCCCACTGCTCCCCCTCCTCTTCTCACGGGACAGGACTCACTTTCACCTGGGAGGACCAGGCCACTCTTCACTTTCACCACTACACCTGGCTCTCTTCTCAGGGAAACCCACCTGTTTCTACAGCAACTTCTCCCACAGGGCAGGAATGCAAAGGATTCCTGGGAGTTTAGAGGTCCCAGGATGAGGGTTATGGAACAAGAACAAACACTGAAAACTGATTATGGAAGACCAATGCGTCAAAAGCCTCTGAAAATCGGTAATAAAGAAAACAGGGTGTGGGGGCGGGGAGATTTAGCTCAGTGGTGCTGCACCTGCCTCACAAGCACAAGGTCCTGAGTTTGATATCAAGTAACAAAAAAATATGTAAAGGAAAAAGATTCAGAAAATCCTGCTCAGCAATACCTGAGGCAGAAGCCAGGAGTTCCTGGGAGATGGCCAGTCCCAGTACCGGCCTCTGGTATCTGGGCAGGAGCCAGAGGGAATGAAGGACGCGATTCTTGAGCACCCAGCCCTGCAGGGTCCCATCTTCGGCACCACTCACCAACACCTTGGGGCTTAGCCAGGCCAGTGCAGACACTGCCACGTCTACCATTTGACACAGCACCTGCTGGGAACCTGAACAAAGACACAAATAAGAGGGTGAGACACCTGGAAAGGGGTGCGGTGAGGGGTGCCCTCGTTCCAAAGTGGCAAAAATCCACCCATTCCCCCTCCAGTACCTGCAGGGATTTTGTAGATCTTAATGCCATCTTTTCGGTAGCCAACAGCCACCCAGTCTCTGTCTGGGCTGAGAGCCACTGAGAGGGCAGGAGAGAGACGAAGGGAGCCCAGGCATCCCCAGGGCCGCCCCAGGGAGCTTGACCACACTTGAACCTGGAAGCCAAGAACATGGATTAAAGACAGGACATCCCTACCACCTGGTCCTTCACCCAGATGATGGCCACCCCATTCAGGTCCTCCTCCCAGAGACTCATGAGCATGGTCCACACACACACACCGCCTCCCTCTCCCTGTTGAATCGGCCACCCCAGCTCCTCTGGGTTCCTCAACACAGGCCCCGCCCTCAGGCAAATCTTGCCTGCTTTGCTACACCCTCCTCATGTCCCACCATAAACCCCCTGCAGCCAGACCTTGCCGTCCTCTCCAGCCGTCAGTAACTGGCTTTGGGCATGCAGGAAAAGCACAGCAGAAACAAAGCCACAGTGGGCAGGGAAGCCAGCCAGCCTCGACCCCTCTTGCCAGGCCCACAGCTCCACCGTCCTGTCCAGCCGGCCTACAGCCACAAGCTGCCCAGTTGCACTGAAGGCCAGAGTTCGCACAGAGGCTCCTGGAGCCCCCAGATCCTGCACAGGGAAGTACAAATGGAAATACCAGGGCTTGCTGTCAGCACAACCCACAGGGACACGGAAGGCAGATGGGCATCTTTCCACTCCTGCCTCCTGTGCTTCCTCCCCAAGAGCTACTGGGGGCCCACTTACCTGGGTGGCTTTGAGTCCGTCCACCTGGAAAAAGCTGACACTGCCAGCCCAGCTGCCAATGGCTATGGCCTGCCCCTCTGGGTGGAAGGCGGTGCAGTTGAGGGGCTTGGCACTAGTGTGCTGGAAGGAGAGCTGCCCACGGACTGTGTCCCACAGCTGGAGGAGAGAGAGGAGAGGAGTCAAGGTGCTAATTACAGATGCCTGACCTTCGCAGTCCTACAGCCCCAGACAGCACCTTGTCCAGTCCCCTACTGCAGCAGGCAAGGCCTCCCCAGGACAAGTGGCCCAGCCATGTTGAGACGTCAAACTCAAGGGCCGATTCCCAGTTCAGGGTCAGTTTGTCATTACCTTTAGGCACCCGCCCAGGCACACGGTGGCCAGCAGCCGCTGGTCTGGGCTCAGGCAGCAGCCCGTGATTTGGTACTGGTGAGCCTTGGTCTGGAGCACACTGTCCCAGGAAGACAAAGTCAGGCCTCTGGGCCCAAGTGGACAACTGGCTCGCTGCTCACTGCTTGGCTGTGGGGTTCTCAAAGGAAAGGGCCTCCCTCAGAGACATGCAGGGACCCTTACCGACAACCTCGCTGCATGTCCCAGAGTTCCAGGAGTCCATCAAAGGCGGTGAGGAACAGGGCACTGTCCGAGAGGAAAGCACAGGAGGAGATTCCGTCACAGCCACTCACTACAGACTTCTCCTCCTGTAGAGCAGGACAGGAGGCATGGCTCGGGCCACTTCCTGACCTTCTGAGTCCAACCACTGCAGGCCTCACCCAAAACAAAGGCCAAGGCAAGAAGGTCTCGAGCCCGAGGCTCTACATTCCCTGGTCAAAGCCAGGTTCAAGTGGAACTCCTGGTCCAACCTGGGCTGTCTCTTCTGCTCCACTCCCAGCCGCACACCTACTCCCAAACACAGATTTTCATGGGTCTCAGGGAATGGAGTCCCCAGAATGCACATACCTGGGAGGGAGTGGGGCTGATGAGGATGATGAGACAGAGGCTGTGGCGGTGGGAGCCCCTCCTCCACCTAATCTACCACTGCCCACATCAGCCTTCACCTCAGTCATTCCCAGCAATTCCCAGGGAACACTGCACCGGCTCACTGCTGAGGCTCTCACTCAGCCAGAGGCCTTCCTTTCTCCACCCCAGGCCTTCCACTTTCTACATGACCGCATGCTCTCAATTATGGCAGCATTGTGTTTCTGGTTCCCATCTCACCTTGTACGTTTTATCCCCCAGTCTGATTAGGTGACAGGAAGGAGACCCTGAGCTACACTGACCACAGTGTTCCTTGTGACGTACAGAGCCTTGAATGAAATTTGTGCAGCAAATACTGGCTGTTTGGTTATTTTTTTTCTTTCCGGACTGGGAGTTCAACCCAGAGCCTTTGCACTGAGCTACATACTCAGGCCTTTTTATTTGTGGCTTTGACACAAGTTGCCAAGTTGAGCAGGCTGGGCTCCTTAGGTCCTCCTGCCTCAGCTTTACAGAGTGCTGGAATTACAGAAGTGCACCTGGCGGAGTGATTTTTTTTTCTGACCAAGCCCTCTGATCTGATGTGAAACATGAGTAAAGTTGCTGAACCCACCAGGGAGAACATGTGTGTGCCTAGGTGTGAGGGGCTGAGGGTTTTCTGAAGGCAACTTCTGCCCTGTCCTGAGTGTCATACCTGCCAGGTCCTCAGGTCCAAAAGGTAAACCATCCCACTGGCAGTGCCCACAGCTGCTCTTTGCCCATTAAAAGAGATGGCTACAGCAGTGGGGGTTGAGGAAATCACCAGAGACAGGCTGGAGCTGGAAGAAGAGAAGGAAAGAGAGGAATTTAGGACAAGAAGGCAACTGGAAATCTTCTGCATTTCTGTATCGGAATCCCCTCTGCACTGTGATTCTGGTCTGTCCTTTCTCTCTGGTTTGAGAAAGGGCTGTTTCAAAGCAGCTGTTTTCTGCTCAACTTTCCAGGGCCTGCAGTCAAAGTTCTAACCTCTGCTGACCCTCCACGGTCTGGGGTTTATTAAGCCATCGTAGTATAGGCCAGCGGTGCCATTGCTGGGAGAGCAGGGGGGCCTGAAAGCAGAGAGGCGAGTCTGCAGGCTGGTTGGCTGCCTGCTGGCGCAGAAGCAGGGGGTAGCGGCTCAGGACTGGGGCCTGCTGCCTCAGGAAGGTGCAGAAAGCTGCAACATCAGCCTCAGGGAGCTTTTGGTCTTCCTCAGGGACTGAAGAAGCTAGAGAAAGACAGAAACAAGGAGTCACTGGGAAGCCAGCCAGACCCCATTACGCACAGCACTAAACAAAACATCCGTGGGTCTAAAATACTCTCAAAGTGTGGTTGTCTGGCCTGAGATCAGAAACCCTTGGGCAAAGTAGTAGAAAGCTTTGGGCCCCACTCCTGACCTGGGGAAGCAGATTCTGGGGCTCTCGGGACCTGCAATGTGAACGTGTTTCCTAGATGATTTCTGCCCACTAAATAAAGTCAGAGAACTTCTGATCTAAGAGATCCAAGCAAAAAGTGTCCAGAAACTCACTAGCTCACCCTCCTGTCATTTCAATGGGAGAAGAAATGTGGCAGCTTCTTCCCCTTCCACCTGCCCCTCAAGCAGGGTTCTCACGAGCACCCCGGGGAGTTCAGAGCTCAGAGAAGAAGCCTTCCGGGGACTCGTCTCACCATAGAGGGTGTGTGCCTCCAAGAGCTGGGGAACCAGACCCAAGTCCAGGTGCGCGGCCACCACGGGGAGACTGCTGAGGAACTTGGCAAGAAGGGCGTGGTTCCCGCTGTGGAGCTGGCGAGGTCGATTGTATTCATTAGAGATGGGAAGACTGTGCTGAGGAGGTCACTGTCTAATCCCAGACCCTGCCTGTAGGCCAGGACTCGGACCACATGTGAGAAAAGGGACCGGACATGTGGAGGAGGACTGGAAAACTGACAGTGAAAAGGTGAAGGGAGTTTGGGAGGGAGGTAAATGGCAGTAGGGACAGCGGTAGTGGTCAAGGGGACAGAGATGAAAGAACAGCCAAAGAAACCAGGTGTGGTAGCTCATGTTTGTAATCCTAGCTCTCGGGGAGGCTGAGCCAGGAGGACAGCAAGTTTGAGCTCAGGCTGGGCAACTTAGCGACTTAGCGAGACTATCTCAAAATAAAAATAAAGGGCTAGCTATGTAGCTCAGTACAAAGGGCCTGGGTTAAATCCCTAGTGTTACAAAACCAAACAAGTAAGACTAGCCAAGGACAGTGCTTGGGAAAGGTGTGTGTGGGGTCTAGGGACTCACCAGGTGGAAAGGCAGGTCTCCCAGAGCCTCCGGAAGACAACTTTGGAAGGAGCCTGAAGCATCAGGGTTGCACGTCTTCCAGAGCTGAGCTGTAAGAAAAGACACTGAGTGTCAGGCATGGTGGCACACACCATAATTCTAGCACTTAGAGAATGAGGAGGATCATCGTGAGTTTGAAGACAGTGTGGGCTACACAGCAAGAGCTTGTCTCAAAACAAGAAACAAACATGCCAAGCAAACCAGATATTGAGAAGGGCTCAGCCCTTCAGCATCCCAAAGATCACATCCTTCAGGCTACAGCAGGGTCATCCACTCACAGAAATGGCAAGTAAGAGTTTCAGCAGATACTGTGCACCAGTGGGTGGTCCTGCCCCCTAGGAGCAGGCCCCAGACCAAGGTCCCCAGCCAACATGGGCCATGCTCACCTGCAATAAGGACATGTGCCATATGCTGTAGCCCTCGCCTTTTCCCATAGCGACGTTTGACTGCTGTCTTCAGGGCCCCATCCCGGAGGCAGAGTCGGGCACCAGGGCGCTCCAGAGGGCCCTCCCCTAGCAAACTGTGCTCAGGAGGATTGGGCAGAGAAGGAGGGGAGGAGAGGAAGGAGGCCAGTCAGTGAGCACCCTGGCTTAGTGGTGGGCTCCACTCCCACCTTAGATGCAGGCCAGGGGAGATGCATCTCATGCAGAGCCTGGGAGACAGTTGTTAGAGCTCCACCAAAGAAGGGGAGATGAAGAAGGGTCCCGCCTCACAGATGGGAAGGCACAGATCAGTAGTGAGTGGGAGCCGGGCTGGGGCACCTGTACCTGCACAGGCTCTGCACGAGGTAGGCAAACAGGCCCATGGGGTAGGGCTCTGCACTGTTCCCAGCAGCTACGGCTTCTTCCCAGCTCTTAGTGCCCTTGGGTAGAATCTGCCACGCACTCAGCACTGCATGCAGCTGGTCCTCAGTCAGACCTAAGAACCCAGGCTTTCTGAGGCCCAAACCAAACGGCAGAGCACACCCATCCCCAAGACACCAGGAACCTCCAGCCCTGCTGGTGGAGATCCCACCAGAATCAAGGCATCCACACCCTGAGAACCTCAGTCTCCCATCCGGCCCCAACCACTGACCACTGCGTGTGACTTCCAGGGTGGCCAAGGTCTGGGGAAGGACATCATGGCCGTGCTCCTGCTCCAGGGTGCTCAGGATCAGATCCAGCAGCAGGGGGACAGTGGCGGGCAGGGTGCGAAGCCTCTCAGACACCTGGGAGGGGAAGGAGCCTAGGCTTCATCCATGGGGAGGGGAGAGGCCGCTCTGGTGTGGCAGGGAAGGGAGCAGCAGGCTTAACAGTGGGAAAGAGAAACAGGTGAAGACAACGTGGTGCAGGGTGACACAAGGATGGGGACTTCGAGATCACAGATGGGAGAGGGTGAGACATGGGGGTGAGGTACGGAGCCCAAGAAGTGGGAGGAGAATGGGCAGTGAGTGAGGACTTTGCAGATAAGGACCAACCAACCTGCTCATAGAGCGTGAAGAGCCTCAGGTGATCCGTGACCAGGCGCAGGTAGAGGGGCAGGCCTGAGCCCCGCTTCACTAGCAGCAGCTGCATCTGGTGAGAAGCAAGGGACTCAGCTTGGGGACCAGGGAGCCTGCCACAGCCTGCCTCTGTCCCCATCACCAATCTTACTGCAAAGCAGCTGCTTCTCTGAGGGTCCCACCAGACCAGGGGTCAGCCTGTGGCAGCACGTCAGGGTACAAGCATCCCACCCAGCTCCTGGCCAGCCCCTGTCAGGGACACTCATGTGGTGCTGCCTGTGCTTCAGTAACCAGTTTGCATGTGCACTCTCCCCTACAGGTCCTGGCGAGGCATTCTTATCAACAACTTCCCCGGTAAACAAGTGCATGAGAAAACAGCAGCCCATGCAAGACAGCGGACAGCCTCAGCCAGCTCCCAGACCTTCCCCACACCCCCAGGTCTGGCCTAGGTCCAACCTGGTTGTTGAAAGGAGACTCATCCAGCCTCTTCCCGTAGAGCGCCAACTCGTCTCTCACCAGCTGGGCCCGGGCAGAGGGTGCCAGAGGCCCCAGGGCTACCACGTAAGCACCTTGGCTCTGCTCAAGGGTCTCCCCAAGGCCGGAGTCACTAGACACACTCAGCACCAGGTGTACCCACTGTGATTAGCGGCAAAGAAGCAGAAAGCAGGGGAAAAGGGAAGAAACCACATTAGAGAGGCCCTCTCCTCACTAGGGCATCCCTTCTTCCCTCTAACCCCCACCCCCACTTCCTTCTCACACTCACCCGGGGAAGGGATTGTGGGATCCAATCTGAGATCAGCTGACCATTCTGGTCCACCAACTTGTCAGCTCCATCGATGATCAGGACCAGGGTCTGGCCAGGCTGCAGGGTCTGAGCAGACTCAGGCAGGAGTTTCTGCTGAAGCTCCCACACCAGGCCTCTGTGTGTGGAAAGGAAGCTGGCATCAGGGGATGGAGAGCTGCAACAACTGGAGAGAGGCATGGGGGCATACGCACCGGTGAGTCCTGGGGAGGGCGCCCACTTTGTGCAATTTGCTATGCAGGTAGCTACACAGGCGCCTGAGCAGGCTGAGGGCAAGACTCTGGTCAGGGCGGGCCCCTGAGAAGTGGAAGAAGACTAAGGGTGCTACCTTGGCCCCAACAGGAGCCCGTAGAGCTGACACAAGGGATGCCTGCAGGGACAGGAACACAAACATGGGCACATTTTATTATGAGCACAAGCTCCCCATGTCCCACCGCCTTAGCTACTCAGTGCCCCTCTACTCCATAGGCTCCCAGACTCATACCAGGAAGGTGGTCTTGCCCTGTCCTGACTGCCCAGTCACTAGGCTCAGCTTCCCATGGGGCAGCACCAGCTGCCTCACTGTGTCCTGAAGCAGCCGCAGCCGGGCAGGCCTCGCTGGGCTCCGCAGCTCCTGAAAGGTGGCCTGGACCAAGTCATCATCCGGGATGGAGACTGGCTGCTCCAGCTCGGCCCCAGGCTGAGGGTACACAAGGTAGTGACTACTCATGTTTCTTAGCTCCTGATTTCTTATGCAATCCCTGTCCAGGCATCTCCTCCATCTCCTCTGCATTCCTCAGGCCATCAGCACTTCTGCTGACCTGTAGGTAGAGCTTCTGGATCACACTCCACACATCCTGGAGAACCAACTGCCCAAACTCCTCGAGACCCCCGGCATAGGGCCGGCCAGCTGCCGTGCCGCCCCACTCACAGGAGTATCTGCAGGCAAAGCAAGCACACCAGAGTCAGAGTGGGCTGGCTGTCCTCACATCCCTCCATACCCGGAGCTGCCTACCTCCCCAAGCTCACCCTCGACAGGTGATCTCCTTCCGTGTGCTGAGGTAACTCTTCAGTTCTGAGATCCGCTGTGCAGCCTCTTCAGACTCAGAAACAAAGTCAGGTCTCCACATATCTGGCACAGAGCTGACCACCAAAGATAGCCCAAGAATGAGGCTAGAATCAGATCCCAGCCTCATACCACCAGCCAGCAGACATGGCTGTGACTTCCCGAAACTCAAAGAGGGATCTGACCTCACCCCAAGGCTGATTCAGGCTGTAAAGACCTGCGTTCTGCATCCTGCTTCTCTCCTTTAGCTCACCTCTCCCATACCCACTGCTAGGACTTAGTCTGTCTGGCCTGGTGGGGAGGGAGACCTGGCTCAGGGAACAATAGGAGGCACCTGAGGAAACTGGAATCCCGGAGGTAGATGAGAGCCTGGGCGGAGGGCTGTGTGCATCGATCCCGATTCAGGAACTGCATCACCTCCAGCTCTGTCACAGAGCGCCCTGGCGGGTACTGCTGGACCTACAGGGAAAGGCCAGAAATAGGTGGACTCAGTCCTAGGTCACATACTGCTTTCCCCAGAGACACCCAAGGTCTCAGGGCTCCCTGATCTCAGTAAAGTTACTCCCTCCATCCAAACACACGCTGTGAAATAGAGCTAACAGAAACTGAACTTACAAATAAGGATCAAAATATATAAGAGATAATGTAAAACAGGAAGAAATGGTCCAAAGGGGAAGTGGAGGTGGGAGGATTAGGGGAAAGGAAAGAAGGGAAAGGAATAAATATGAGAACAGGAATACACAGCAACAAAGTCTTTGTAAATAGGGAGGGGTGGAGGGGTTGAAGGGAGAGCAGGGGAATGGGGAAAAATATAAGAACCAAGGTATATCATGTAAAGATATCAATTCCCAATGATGAATGTTATCATATTGTATACCTAAACTGTACCAATAAATATAATAAAAAAAGAGCTAACACCTAACACATATTGAATGCCTGACATGTACTGTCAATTCTCAAAATAGATTTTTGATTTCCATGATAACCCTGCAATAGAGATGTTCTTGCTTCCCTTTAATATATGGGGAAATCGAGGATAGGTGATATTAAGCTGCTTCCCACAAAACTCACAGACGACAGAAGGGTGATTAGAAATCAGACCTGTCTGAGAGCAAAAGCTCAGTGGCCTATGCCCTCACCTCTCACATCCCATGGCCAGCATCAGTTACTTCTCAAAGGAACTTCCTCCTCTAAACCTGGGTCACTTGCAGAATTCTCTGGCTGTACTTCACTGCAAGTCTCCAGGACTTGCCTGTGCAGTCCCAGGCTTCCTGATAAACTGTGGCCTTTCCCCTCCTGTTACCTCCTCCAACCTCAGCTGCCTCACCCAGTGGAAGTGGGGATGGTCAGGAAGGTCGTAGCTGGGGGGAACGTAGCCATAGCGGGATCCCAGAATGCCCAAGAACAGCTGTGAGTTCTCCACCTCTCCAAGGCACACTTCCAGTTGTCTGTAGGCACAGTTATAGGGACATGTAGCAGTCAGCAGGGATCCGGGCAGGGCACACCAATACAAAACCAGAGTGAAGGGCTCTGGCTCACAGAGCCAAGTGAAAGCAGCCTGCTCCTGTTGGAACTTAGAGACAGTTCCCTACGCCAACCCTCATCTGTTCCTATGGCCCCAAGCCTGCCCACCACGGTTCCCCCACTGAAACCCCTTGTCCTGACCCAGCCCCTTCCAACACCTGTTCCTGCGGGTCTCCTCCTCAGTGACACCCCAGCGTAGATCGATAGCGTGAAGGCTGATGCGGTGGGGGGCGGCACGAGCCTGCAGTGCTGGCAACATGGACCTCAACAGCAGGTCCCGCTCCCCATGCATGTCCCGGAAAGTGGAAGAAATGAACAGCCGGATGCTGCGCCAGCTGGGGGTAAGCAGAGAGCTAGGCTCAGCCTGGGGATCAGGCCCCTCTCAAACCCACAGACACAGCCAACGGTGCCAGGGAGGCCTCTGCAGAATAAACTGCTGTGGTCTCAGCCCCAGAGCCCTGGAATCTAAGCCTGAATTGTCATTTCTCCTCTACCACTCCTTCTCCAGCCAGTCATTACTATGCATTTATTTCTTGCTCACAACACTGTAAGATACACACCAGCATTATCCCCATCCTACCAACCAAGAAACTATAGCTCTGCCAGGCTTGGTGGTGCAGCATGGAAACCCAGCTACTGAGGAGGCCGAAGGAGGAGGATTGTGAGTTTGAGGACAGGCTGGACAACTTAGAAAGACTCTGTCTTAAAGACAAAGGAAAAAAAAAAAACAACAAAAACAAAGGCCAGAGTGTGTAGGTCAGTGGTAGAGCTCTTGCCTCACATGAGTGAGCCTCTGCTTTCAATCCTCAGTAACACACACAAAAAAAGAATCTATAGTTTTAAGAACTAAGCAATCAGCCCAAGGTTCAAGCTACCATTCAGGATGAAAAAGACAGAGCCGGAGCTCCTTAAGCTCTTTGCCTAAACCCTGGCTTTATAGTCATGGTGTCTGCTGCTCTCCTTGCAGTTTACCCATCCTTTCCCCAGAAGATAAAGGTGCAAGTTCTCAGTCTGACTTTTTCTAGTGCTAGAGGACCCCCTGCCTGACAAGGAGCGAGCACATCTTAATCACTAGGACAATGGTGACTGAACAGACAGAAGGACAGTCAGACAGCTTCTCTGGACACAGAGACATAGACTGACCCATGCTGGAACACAGGAGCCAAGGGGCTGGGAGCATCCACTTCCAGTGGCCGGAGAGTCAGGACCTGTGTCTTTCCCGGGGCGGGTGGTATCCTGAATATTCTGTCCATCTGGTCCACATGTTCTAGGAGACGGGAGGCCCCACTCTCTGCAATGAACCTAATAACAAAATAAACCAGAGGAGATTTTTAGAGGTCAGGATAAAAAAGGACTTCCAAGGACAGAGAGCAAAGACATTACCAGGCAGAGTTACAATAAGTGACACCAGAGAAACATAGGAATGAAGGGAAATGAGAAATCCTGCTCCAGCCCCTCTGACTGTACATGGAATTCATGAAGATTTCTGTTGGACCAGGGAAGACTGGACTGCACTAAGGTCTGAAGGTCAAACCCATCCTAGTCTGGGCTGTATCGCCTCTGTGCCAGCCATGCAAGGCCCCGAGGGAGTGAGTGTGCCTGAGGCCTCCTCATGGGAGTTGAGGGAAAAGGCAGGGAAGACAAGAAAGTGAAAAGGCTAGGAGGGTGGCAGTGCACACCTGTTATCCCAGCACATTGGGAGGCTGAGGTAGTAGGACAACAAGTTCAAATCAAGCCAAATTTAGCGACTTAGTAAGGCCCTGTCTCAAAATTTTCAAAGGCTTCAGATATAACTCAGTTTGGAGGCCCTGGGTTCAATCTTCAGTATCGTATTTTTTTTAAAAAGGATAAAAGTGGAGCAAGGGACAAAGTAAAACAATTTATGTAACTTAGCATAAACACATGGGATTTTTTTGGATCAAGCATTAAACAGAGGCCCCAGAGCGCTATGACCAGTGTTGACTTGTTTCCCTAAAAGCGAACAATAGAATCTCCCATGTCCCCTTCCCTCTTTTCTCCTAGATCCAATATAAACTTGGCTGGATACAAAGATATCTGGAGCTGAAACAGCCATCTTGGACCATGCAGTGGGCGCTGTGGAGGGTGGTGGAGCAGTGAGACAGTTAGTGCCTGGGTCTCTGTGACACTGTGTTGCTGCTGGGACAGGTTAGCCTTAAAACAGCAATAAATTCTTACATTGCTTTGGAAAGGAAGTGAATGGAACGGAGGGCACACATGAGCTCTCACAGATTCTAAGGCTGTCCGTTCCCTCCAGTGTCCATTTGTACTTACTTCAGTATCCCGTCCGTACAGCCTGAGAGTGTCACGTGATTGGGATGGAACTCGGAATATCTGAGAAAGCAAAGCAGTCACTGAGCACCAGAAACAATGCCTGGTACAGTGTCACTGCTCTCCATACCTGAGATCAATGCCCCGCCTCACACCGCTGCACTCTCAACCGGGTTACGTGGCTGGGGTGCAGCTCAGTGGTAAAGCACATGCCTGTGTGCAGGAGGCCCCGCATCTGTCTGCGGCACTGCACACCCACACATGCACACTGACACACACATGCACATGCACACGCGCATACACACACACACACACACACGTGGTTATGTGCTAGGCTAGGGTTAGGTACACAGGTACAAATGGGTGGAGAATGAGGCTGAGGACTTCAGAGAAAGTTCTGGAACCTGAAGTGCACCAGAATTAAAAAGGCAGAGACAGGAAGTGCCAGAGAAGTGGGGTTTCCCAAGCTATGGCAGGAGCAGAGGAGATCATGAATCACTGTCTTCAGACGCTGGGCAGGGAGTTTCAGCATCCTTACGGGTATGGTTTCCTTACGCGGACATCAACAAAGAGACACTTGGGATTCACATGCTTCCAGATAATATGTTTGGCTACAGTTACAATCGGGCTACGAAGCATTTCACCAAAGAGGACGACCCTGTCCACCTGTAAGACAAGAGGGGAGTGGTGAGCTGAGGAACAGGGGAAGAAGGGACACTAAAGAGCTCAGGACATCAAAAAAGACATCTCTAAGAACTGGGGGATTTGAAGAGGTCTGACTGGACTGGGAAATTGCTTCTCCTGAGAATGCTTAAGAAGGAAGTCACTACACCCTGACTGGACAAAAGGTGGGAGAATGGCAGTGGTGTGTTCCAGCTTGCTCATTCACACTCGTGACAGTTGACTATTCAATTTTTAGGAATGCTGTGGTCTTTCTGATGAACAGAACCATTTATTTTATTGTATTTTTTGGTGCTTGGTATGAAACTCTGGGCCTTGCTCATGTTAAGCACATGGGCTGCCACTGATTTACACCCTGAGCCAATATGACCATTTTATACATTAAATTTTGTAAGTTTAAAATTAAATAAAGGGCTGTGGGTGATAGGTCTACGGTAAAACACTTCCCTAGCATGGATGAACCCTTGGGATCAATCTCCAGCACCACTAAAAAGTTAATCAATTATATTTGACAAACTGAAAAAATCCTTACCATTTGTTACTTTTTAATTATCTTACTATAGTCTGCTATTTTTACTCTTGAGCTTGCTTACATCTCTGCCTGTATTGTGGAACTACCAAACAGTGGCATGCTGCTGAGCATTTCTTCCCAACTCTGTGCTCAGTGACATGATGTTGGCAGCTTGAAACCAGCCCTGGTGGGACTACTCACACCACAGAAATTAGCAAATGCTATTAAAAAGACAGATTTTTATAGACTGCTAGTGGTGAAATCTTCCACCACAAGGGAACCTGCACAGAGCCATCGGGGAACCTAACTATACACTGTACAAACTGTGAAAGAGCGGCTTTAAGATGTCAAAAATGAGGCAAATCATCTAAAATGGGGCACAAGCGGACAAGGACTGAGTAGTACTCACAGGGACCCTTTGGACAGCCAGAGACAGCAGGTACTTCTCAAAAGTAGTCAGAGGACACTCATCCACTTCCTCCATCTCCTGAAGGAAAGAGACCCAGGTAATCTTTGGTTGCACATGAGATAAGCAATGCTCAAGTTTGCACATGTTCTGCATGTGTCCCCAGGGGTTCCTATGTTGAAATTTTAATCTCACTGTGAGGTAGTAAGAGGATGGAAACTCCATCTGACCATGCTATGAATTGATGGGGCCTTGTGGGAGGTCCTCAAAGGAGCTGCCCGTGGAGAGACTAAGGCAGCTCTTGTGAGACCCCTGAGTTCTTGCAAGAACCAGCTGTATAAAAGCCTAGGCCTGACCCAGGAACCATTCCCAGGATTTCCATTTCAGGAGATGATCTCTTCCTCTCACAGGCTCCACCCACCATGATGTCCTCACCTGAGCCAAGCTGAGGCCTGTGGATGCCTTCAAATCTCCAGAGCTGTGCCTGAAATAAACCTCTCTTCTGTATACAGTTAGCCTTCCTCAGACATTTTATATCAGCAATGAGAAACAGAGGAATACAACCAGTAAGCAAGAAACATCACAGTCGGCCTGGGAGAGCTGCATGACTCTGCATATTCACGCCTGTACCACCTGGGATGCTCCCAGGCCTGTGTCCATCACAGATTTGGAGATGGGGGGGTGAGGGTCTGACCTGGACTTGAGCCTGGAGTGTGATGGCCGTCTTCAGGATAGCGTCCTCCGCCACAAGCACGGCAGTCTTCACAGTGCCTCTTCCACACAGCAAGACCTCTGCCTGCTCTGCCCGCGCCATCATCATTCCAATCAGTAGCAGCACATAGTTCAGGGGGGGCTGATTGCAGTAAGGGGGACTTAGTTTGAAATCCTCCCTTCTCTACCCAGCCCTGAGACCAAGCACCTCCCCAGATTTGCAATAATGGGAAATAGGGCAAAATCTTCCCCGAAGAGCTGTCAGCTTCTGCAGCCCTCAAGGAGAGCTGGGGGGATGAGGAGGAAGCCAGAATCCCTTCCCAAATTCAGTACTGGGTGGCAGTGAGGTGAAACTGAGACATACCGTTGGTGACAGAAATTCAGAAAGCATTAAGTGCTAAAAGCTGAAACGTTAGTGCTATGATCCATAAAGAGGATCAAGACCCCATCGTAGGAATTCTCCCTGGGCAGCTGAGGGCTGACACTTGGAAGCAAATCCATGTTATTTATTTAAATCTCTGTGCCTCCATGGTAAACCAGGTCTAGGATCAGGATACTTCCCAGGCTGCCCAGAATCCTACCAGCCCCTTGCAGGATGTTTTTGCCTTTTTACCCCTTGTGTGTTGCTCTTGGGACACAGCAGGTCTGCTCGAGAATCCGTCATATAGACCAAAAGGGTGCGGCCTGGCAGCGGGGGCAGGCTGTGCCTCACAGAGAGGTTCACAGCTACCTCCAGGGCCTGTCGATACCGGCCAAGCATCTCAGTGTCACATTTCCACTGTCTGCAGGGCAAGAGAGACACAGACACAGGCACTCAGGGCTTTCTCTGCTGCCAGGACGAGGCAGACAGGAAGATCTGAACTTGTTGCTCAAGTACCGAGTTGTCTCCCTGGCTCCCTCCTCAAGCAGTGATTTGTCCTTCAGCAGCCCCTCTGATCACATTAAATGACAGACACCTGAGTCCTGGGTTTCTCTTGGGTGATAACGGACACAGGGAATGTTGAAGTGCTCAAAAGAACTCAGAGCTAGGACTTGATCGAGTTTGCAGAACAGACTGCATGTCTGTTTTGAGGCTGCTTGCTGTAACTATCTTTATGTGTGTCAGGAGAAAAAAGACGATGAATGGGTCAGAAACACAGAAAGAGAGAAACAAAAAGAAAAACAGATGTCAGAGAAGAGGAAAGGAGATCATGAATCAGCGAGGCTGGGAGAGGACACAGCATGCAAGCACTGAAAGGGACATGATACAGACACAGAACCCATGGGAACCAAGAAGAGAATCACAGCAGCAGCGTGGAGGCTGAGGCACAGCTTTTGTCTCATGACCTCCAGGACAATGGTAAAAGACAAGATTTTCTGTGCAAGAGATGAGTGGAGCCAAGCAGGTCTGGGCCACTGGGATGACCGATGAGCATTACCTTTACAGAAAAATACTAGGAGTTCCCAGATGAACCCCAGCCCTGCCAGCACACCGCCTGTCACCCGGGCATGGCCCGTGGATGATGTGCACACACCTGGCCTTGCGAATTTTTAGCTTTTCCCTCTTGAGCTGCTCATACAGCACAGGTACCATCATTGCTGTCCGAAGCTGCGATCGACGTAGGTTGCACAGGTACCTTGGATATTTCCTGATAGACTTTGCGTTTCTAGTCATGATCCGTCTCATCAGTTGTGTATTGGAAGGAAAGGGCAACGCTGTGGGGCAGCAGACACACAGTGAGTCAGGCACCTTCTCCTCCCTCATTGCATCCCACCATGGATGTGCTCTGAGCCCGACCCTCGGGCTGGCACCTGCCTGACCTCTGCCCAATCTAAGCCCTGAAGCTGCAAGGCAAGACGCTAAAGACAATGAGTCAGCAGAGCTGTCTTAACTGACACAGGAGAGGCACACGGGGCTGCGAGATGGGAGAGGATACCTTTATTTCTGAGTTGAGCCTCGAGGTTATCGATGGCATCATGGGCATTAAGGAATCTGAACGGAAACTGCCGACTGTGGATCACTGACTTCTGCAATGCAAGGGAGGGTTGTGAGCAGGGGACCAGGGAGGATGGGGCTGCCAGGGCCTGGGACCAAGAAAGTCACTACTCTGTTAGGTCTGTGGGAAGCTAAGGAAGAGGACTATGCAGTCAGAGCAGATACAGAGAAAAAGCAACAAAGAAAGAACTGTCACGTTAGAGTAGAGAAGAGGCAAAGAAGAGGCGGTAACAAGCCAGGCGTGGTGGTGCCACCCTGTAATCCCAGCACTTGGGAGGCTGAGGCGAGTTCGAGGCCAGCCTGAACTCCATAGTGAGACCCTGCCTCAGAACACAGAGGAGGAAGTCAGAGAAGCAGCCCCACTTCTTTCCTAGCAGACTCACTGGAAGGCAGTTCATTGCATACCGTGTCCTGCAGCCGCTGCAGGATGAGTTCGTGGTGGCGAGCGCTGATTCCCACCCGCAGCAGGTTGCACAGGTTCCGAAGCATGGCCATGAAGGGAAGCTTCCCACTGTCTGCAGGAGGTGGAGCACAAGGCAGGAAAGCACAGGACGGGAGAGAGAGGTTAGAGTCCAGGGCAAGAATTTCACGGGCAAGTTCAACACAGAGAGGGTGAGGGACCAGCATAGGATGATCCATTCAGCCCACAGTGGGCAAAGATAAAACCAGGATCAGGTTGAAGCCCAGAGCAAAATTGACCCAACACTGGTTAAGGGACAGCTGATTAATAAATCATGTTACCACTGTGCCTGCCGGCTCTGTCCCTGAGGTTGGGGTCACCTGACACAGTGTATCTCTAGTTTACAGCAGTGGTTTCCAAACTTTCCAGACAGCTCAAGGAGAAATGTAAAGAGAAATGTAAAAAAAAAAATGTGTAAGTTTGTTTACTTATAATCCGTGTGTATTTGCAATGCACTCGTTAATATTTCAATAAGTAAACTTACAGTTTACTATTTACAACAATGAATATAAATCCATATTTCAAGAAGTCTTCTTGATGATTTTTTATGGTTTTTGGTCAACTTTTCTTGTTTAGGTTTTTGTCCCCTTTTATGATATTTTTATTTTGGAGTATGAGGATTGAACCCAGGATTTTCAAACTGAGCTACATGGTTAGCCCTTTAAAAATTTTTTTTTTCAGCTAGGCATGGTGGATCACACCTATAATCCAGCATTCAGGAGGCTGAGGCAGACAGATTGCTGCAAGTTTGAGGCAAGCTGGGCAACATACTGAATTCAAGACCAGTTTGAACTACATAGCAAGACTCTGTCTCAACAACAACAACAAAAAAATAAAAAATATTTTTTAAACCCCACGTGGTGGCACACACCTGCAATCCCAGCTCAAGAGGCTGAGGCAGGAGGATTGCCTCAAGTTCAACACCGGCCTAGTCTACATAGGGAGTCCAAGGCCACCCTGAAATATACAGTGAGACACTGCCTCCAAAAGACAAAAAAAAATTTTTTTCTTTTGAGACAGGGTCTTAATTGTCAAGTTGCCTCAGCCACGGTCAAATCTGTGAAACTCTTACCTGAACTGGGATTACAGTCATGTGCCACCACACTCAAATAATTATTTTGGGTTTTTTTTGAAATAGGATCTTGCTTAAACTTATGATCCTCCTGCCTCAGCCTTCCCAGTGTTGAGATCACAGGCATGCACCACTATGACTGGCCATGGTGGTGCCTTTTAAAGGTGATCTAAATCTTATTCCAATTGTAGGTAGAAGCCTTCAGACTTCTGCAAGTTCTGAGATTCTCCAGTCACAGTTCTTTGATTGGCATTGACTCCAGGGCCTCATGCATGCTGAGCACTTGCTCTACCACTCACCTAAACCCCTGCTTGTTTTTTGAGACAGGATTTTGCAAGTCTCAAATTACCCCCGGCTAATTTCAAACTCAGCTGTCTGAGTAGCTGGGACTACAGGTGACCAACACCATGCCACTACAAACAGCATGGAACAATTAAGGGGTACACACATGGCAAAAGATGTTTGAAACTAAATGATTACATCTTTATCAACTCAAGTTTTTCTTAAGTGCTGCTCTTTTGAGATAGGGTCTTGCTATGTAGCCAGGCTGGCATGAACTCCTGGTGATCCTCCTGCCTCAGTCTCCCCAGTGCTGAGATTACAGGTGTGTGCTGTCCCCCACCCCATATCATATTTGGGTTTGTCCTTTTTTTTTGAGACAGGGTCTTCCTAAGTAGTTCAGGTTGGCCTCGAATTCGCTGCAATCTTCCTGCTTCAGCCTCCCAAGTCCTGGGATTACAGGTACATGCCACTGTGGCAGGCTAATATATTTTTGATGCTAGAAAGTAGACACTTGCTATTCATGTTAAGAATTCCTCTGATTTCATTCTGCAAAAGTGTTCATTTTTTAAAAATATTTACTGTTAATGAGACATACAGTTTTCAAAAACGGTTCTGTGTATTCAAGTACATTTTGTGTTACATATTATACTGGTATCTATGAGTTCTTCTACTTCCTTTTATTGTTATCTATTTACTGATTGACTGACTGAGATAGGGTCTCCCTATGAGGTTCAAACTGGTCTTGAACTCACTATGTAGCCCAGGCCTGCCTCAAACTTGGAGCGATTCTACTGCCTCAGCCTCCCAAGGGCTCAGGCATGGCCTTCATTTATATTTATTTTTATAACCAAACTTATACATTTATATACTTGTATTTTATGCATTTTCTGAAGAATATAATTATTAGTACAAAGACATAACTTTTAAAAATCCATACACATACATTCTGATGTATTCCAAAAATCATTTTTACCAAGTATGATCAAAGAACTCTGAGCTGAGCGTGGTGGTACATGCCTGTAATCCCAGCATTCTGGGAAGCTGAGCAAGAAGATTCAAAAGTTTGAGCCCAACCTGGGCAACCTCAGCATTCTGGGTGGCTGAGGCAGGAGCATCAAAAGTTTGAGCCCAGCCTGGGCAACCTGGCAACTTGGGGAGATCCTGCCCTAAAAGAAAAATAAAAAGGGATGGAGATGTATCTTGGTACACAGGCCCTGGGTTCAATCCCCAACATCACAAAAAAAGCAGACCAACATCCTCTGGAGAGCACAGGATCAGACTATGGGCATTTGCCTCAGCCAAGATGAGGACACAGTTCCATTTGCAGGGCACAGGTCTCACAGCCAGAGGGGGAGTGAGGATGGTGTACACAGGACCACCCAGCTACAGCAGCTGCCATCAAGGCCCCTGCATCCCATCCTCCCTATCCTGTTCCCACTTTGGAGAGGAGGTCGGCAGGGAGGGAGGGTGTGTGTGTGTGTTTGTGTGTGTGCGCGCGCGCACGCGTGCTCTAGTTCCCAGTGTTCTGACACACACACACCACCAGTGACATCCCGGGAGTGAGAGAGTGACACATGGAGCAGTGCAGGCTGTCCTGAGCACAATCTGCAGTGTGCAGTGCACAGAGGAAAAAGGCACAAAATCTCTGGGCTCCCAAGGTCTGAACTAGGAGGTCTACAAAACTCAGTCACAGGGCTAAAGTGAGATATTATTCAACAAAGAGCAAATGACCACATTTTTAAAGATGAAAGAGGAAACAAGGGGAAACAAAATGGGACAAGCATATAAATGTGAAAACAGAAAGAACATTCTGCAGTTAAAAATGAGTAACTGGTTAGGAGGCTAAGTTTGGGGCCAGCCAGGGAAACATAGCAAGACCCTGTCTCAAAAAACACAAAGCAAAAAAACCCAAAAAACAAACAAACAGAAAACAAAACAGCTGAGTGGGGTGGCACATGCCTATAATCTGAATTACTAAAGAGGCTGAGGCAAGACCATCACAAGTTTGAGACCAGCATGTACAACTTAGCAAGTCCCTGTCTCAAATAAAATACCAAGGGCCGGGGATGTAGCTAAGTGGTAGAGCACTTGCCTAGCAGGTTCTCAATCCCTAGTACCACAATATAAATAAACTAAAAAATGACAACAAATTTAAAAGAGAGAGAGAGAAGATTGAAAGTAATCTGGTCCTCCGGAACAGCTCCTGCTGTTTTTTTTTAATCAGTGTGATCAAATTATATAAAATTTTCATGTCCTAAATAAGACTTTCTGGAGAAATTCCAATGTACCAAGCACCAGCCCTACCTTGTTTGGAAGGTACATATTGATAGACGTTTAATAAGTGAAGAGCTACCACTTTTGTCATATGCTGATAGAGTCTCGTGTACCATCCTCCTCATCTGGAATGAAGGTCTATTTATGATGCCAACACTACTCAAAGCAGGCACTGTTGTGCACTTTGCATGATCAACCGTAGACCTCATAAACCCAATCACTTTCAGCAGTGGAACTACCAAGCAAGAGAGTAACTACATCATGCCATAGAGATATCAGGGTCTACAATGCACAGGCCAAAATGGAGAGGAGAGGAAAGGACCATGACAGTCAAGGTCACCCCACCAATGAGCTCCTCCCAGACGGAAGCTTTGTTTCCCTGAAGGCTCAGCTTCCGGTCCCAGGTCTCTGGTCTTGGGAGCTTCATGCGTTTCCCAGCTCTGCTAGAATCCCATGGCCCAGGGAGGCGACTCTGAGAAAAGAGCTGTAGGCTGGAGGGGTACCTGGGGCAGAGGAGAAAGGGCCCATCATTTCAAGCAGAGAACAGAAAAGGAACGGTGAACTGGTCAATGCCGTCAGTCACATTTACACCCACGTCTGCCCAGAGTTCTGGTGAGAATAACCAGGACAGGGGCCACGGATGTTGAGCCGAGATGGCTTCCCCTCGATGGAATGCATTTTCAGAGGGCACCTGCTCACCTGTAGCCCAGCAGGGCTTGGACATGCTGGGCAGGCTTATGGATATGCAGCCGCTGTACCAACTTCTTCAGGGTGAACCATGATGGATTCTTTTTCTCTGCATCGTAGGCCACCTCGAACTGTGGAAACAGCCCAAGTCTCAAGGGTTATTCCAGCCAGGATCACGAACTTTCTTCAGAAACCAGATCCAAAGACCATCCTATATTATTAGGTAATTTCCTTCCCAAAATTAGACTGCAAGAGAGGGTAAAAATCTCCAGCAACAAGAGCTCCCATGAGCAGTGAGACAGCAGCTCGTGGAGGCAGGGGCAAACCTAGAGTCCTCCCTACTCAGGAGGTTGAAGCAAGCATGATGCTTGACCCAAGAGTTTGACACCAGCCTGGCCAACATGGTAAGACCTTGACTCAAAAGGAAAAAAGGCTGGGGAAACTGGGGGTACAGCTCAGTGGTACAGCACTTGCCTAACCATGTGTAAGGCCCTGGGTTCAATTCCCAGCACTGGAAAAAAAAAAAAAAACACAGCATATCTATCTCCTGAGGGTCCCTGTTTTTCACTCACACAAGACTGAACCATCAGTGGTTACTCTGAGCTGCCTGGCTTGTGAAAACAAGATGAAAACACAATGAACACAGAACACCCTTGTTCTGAGGTAAAAGGAAAAGCAACTCTTCTTTAAATCATGGAGCCCCTGGTCAGGTAAATGGAGGAATCAGCACAATGCGGGATGTGAAGGTCAAAAGGCTGAGAGAATTTTGTATAACAGCACAGCCACATTTTGGATATACTAATAGGATGAAATTTTTTCTTTTTCTACAAGTTTGAGGTTCAGTATTGGGTTGTTTATTTGAGCCTGCTCTGTTTTCCTGATACGGGCATTCACCACTGTAAATTTCCCTTGTAGGACTGCTTTCATTGTGTCCCATAAATTCCAGTATGTTGTACTGGCATTATCATTTAATTGTAGAAATTGTCTAATTTCTTCTTTCGTTAAAGCTGTGACCCATTGGTTCTTCGATAGGGTGTTATTTAATTTCCATATATTTACAGAGTTCTTGTGGTTCCTTTTGCCATTGATTTTCAATTTCACTGCACTATGGTCCAATAATGTGTATGAGATAATTTCAATTTCTTTGAAGTTCTGTAAGCATGATCTATGAGTTATATGTGGTCTATTTTGCAAAACGTCCCATGTGTAGCTGAGAAGAATGTGTATTCTGACATTGCAGGGTGGAACACTCTGTAGACATCTACTGAGTTCATTTGTTCAAAAGTTTGGTTCAGTTCTAATATTTCATTGTTGGTTTTTTTGTCAAGTTGATCTGTCTATTTGTGACAGTGGGGTTTTGAGGTCCCCCATCACAATTGTACTAGTGTTTATTTGATTTTTCAAGTCTGTTAAATATTTGTATTATATATCTGGGTGCACTAGCATTTGATACATATGATGCAAAGGATGTTCAATCACTTTATCAAGGCCTCAGAGCCAGCCAGTTGAGGTGAGATTCAAACCCAGGTTATCTGAATCCAGATTCTATGCTCTTAGATGCTAGGTAAAAAGCCTGATTGCTATAAAAGTAAAAAATATTTTGTTTGTCTTTACACTTTCCTAAGGAAAGTAGAAATTTCCTACTGTTTTTAACTCATTTATCCCACTAAATATGTCACCTGCCAGTAAAACAGAAAAAACTGTACCTGCACACAGACAGCCCCAGGACAAGGGACTTACCTTCGTCTGTACATCTGTAAGAGACCAAAGGAATCCTAGAACATGTAGTCGCCCAGAAAACGGAGGTTCTGTCTTCTGCAGGAACAGGAGAAGCAGTTTCACACAGGGAAATGGAGTCTGTCCCTAGGGAAAAACCCACCTCGACTATCCCTGAAGGCTCATCTCTAACAGAAAGGAAGCCAGCCAGGAAAAAGGCCTGCACTGCTGTTTCTGCCCGAGCTCTTCCCAGCATTCCTGGACCTCTCCCTTAGCTCCTGGCTTAGGAACACATCAAATGCTTGGTGGAGAATCCCTGGACCAGCATGCTCCTGTGGCCCTCCCCTCCCAGGAAAAGGGGCCTGGGCCGTGAGCTAGCAGGGAGGAGGCAGGGACTGACGGGAGGGCGGGGTGGCCGGCGGGGGCGTCTCTTGGCACGGTGCTGCCGAAGATTGTACTTAGCCAGTTGGTACTCATCAAACTGGGCGAATTTGTCAGTCATGGCAGCCCGGAGGCAGGCAGGCAGTGGCACCAGCTTATTCTCATCCCCTTTAGCCAGGTCCTGACAAGAGAGAGATAGAGACGGAAAGAGAAGGGGCGGGGGGGAGAGAGAGAGAGAAAGAGAGAGCAAGTTCCCATCTCCAGCTCTAGAATCACAGTTTCTGGCCAGATGTGGTAGCACACCTGTAATCTCAGCACTCTGGGAGACTGAAGCAGGAGACTCACAAGCTTGAGCCCTGCCTGGACAACGTAGCAAGACCCTGGCACAAAATTTAAAAACTAAAAATAAAAAGAGCTTGGAATAAGGCAGGCATGGAGGCACACACCTGAAATCCCAGCACTCTAGGAGGCTGAGGCAGGAGGATCCCAAGTTAAAAACCATCCTGGGCAACTAAATGACTTTGAGAGACCCTGTCTCCAAATAAAAATTTAAAAAGCACTAGAGATGTAGCTCAGTGCAAAAGCCTTGGGTTCACCAACAAGAAAATACCTAGTGAACCAGAAGAGGCAGCCAGCAGGACAGTCCCCAACAAAATGACAAAATTGTCTTCCAAGGAGGAGCCAGTCAGGCCTGGAAGGCTGCTTTCTGCCAGCAAGAGCAGTCCCAAGACAAAGAAGAGAAGATCCAAAAAGCATCCCAGGAAGATTAGAATGGATATTCCCTGGGGGTGGGAGCAGAGAGTGCCCCAAGATGGCATTTCCCATCCCATCCCCTAGACACCAGTCAAAAAGGAAAAGGCCTTGGGTTGAATCCCAAGTGACAAACGCACACGTGCATGCGCACGCACAGACACACACACACACACACACACACACACACACACACACGGACAAGGTAAAAGAAATTTGTGTGATACTGCTGCACAGGTCAGTAATCTCACATTTTCGTTTTCTTCATTATAAACATGAGGTCCAGAATAAGATCAATTTTTTCTCAAACTTTGGTCCAGTCCACTCCCTTTTAGGCAACCCAGCCCGGTACCGGGAGAAGCTGTCCCATCCCACACCAGGCTGGGAAAGCTGAGGGGAGGCTGACTTGCCTGAGAGTTGGCTCCAGAGATACAGGGAGCAAGAGAGAGGGGACCCAGGGAGGTCCACGCTCAGGGAATCGAGTGCCGCACCTGGTAGAACTCCGCAACCTGGATCCAGTCGGAAGGCAAGTGGACGATGGCACAGAAATAGCGTCGCAGGTGGGGGCGGCAGGCGGGCAACAAGGCAGCAATCGCCAAGACCTTGTTGGCCACATCCCGCAGGTTCAGCTGCTGCCTGGCGTACAAAGATGCCTAGGATACAGGGTGGGCATCTCAGCCACTTCTGCTGTATCTTCCTGCTCTAAACTAACTTACTGAATCTGCCAGCATAACACCGCTATATTGCAAAGTATAACCCCATGTCTCCTGGCCTGGCATTCTAAGCTCTCCATAATCCAGCCCTGGGATGGTGAACCTTTTGGAGCTTTCAGTGGTACAGACAGCCTGCTGCAGGATGCGTGCCATAGGTTTGCCATCCCTCATTTAGCCTTCACCCACCTCTGTAGCTTATCTTCTCTGACTCCACTGACTGCCCTCCAAGTCAACCAGGTCCTTCCACTCTTCAGAAGACAGCTCATATCAACGTCTATCAAACTGATCAGGGGTTTGAATCACTGACTAAACCTGCCATCTTCTGAACTCTCACAGAAAACACCCTCGCCTTTTCTGCTTTTCAAACACAATCCACATCCAGTTCCTTTACATAATATTCAGGAAAGGGTTTTGCCTTCCTAACAATCCTGTGAGCTCCGTAAAAGCCAGCTCATCTGTAGTATGACTGTTAGCATACTGAGCCTGTGTCACTAAGCAAAACAACCCTCGTATACTTCCCTGATTTCATCTTTTCCATTCTTCACAGAACCCCTGGGATGAGGACTCAGACTCAAGCAGAGATCCTTTTCCCCTCCTAAGTGAAGTTCATTCCCCACCCAGAAGAACCCTAGTCAGCACCTCATACACACTGTAAGCACAGTCCTGTCTCCAGCTACCCAACCCAACCCCTTTATCCACAATACCTTGAGGATGAACTCAGGCTCCAAGGAGGAAAGTTCGGAACAGATACAATGGATGGAACGGCTGAGGTCACGAGCATTGTTCATGTTTACATTTGAGGCCACAATGGAGCACAGGATAGTCATCAGACACATCTAGGAATTGGGAGAGGAAGGAAAGGAAGAGTGAGGTAATAGACCAACTTGAACATCTATGCAGAGCAACTTACAAAACCAGGACAAAAAGAATGGACCCAGATTCAGAAACACATCTGTCCAACTGCGAGGTTAGAAAAGGGGATTAGCAGCCTGGCATAGTGCGGCATCCCCGCAATCCCAGCACTCAGCAGCTGAGGCAGGAGATCGGGAAGTGAGAAATAAATGCCGGATCATGTGCCCTCCTTTCCCTCCCACCTGGAGAAGAGATCTGATTCAGGTTTCAACCCCACCTGCCCCTCCAACACCGACCTCTCCCCAGCTCTGGAAGTGTCACCTTCTTTTCCTGAAGGTCCCAGTCACTGGTCTCAGGATGAGATTCAGAGTGGCCAGAGGCAAGCTGCAGGGCCAATTCCTCCTCCACCTCCTCCTCTTCTCCCAAGCTTAGGCTATAAATAGGCATCTGGTCCCCGTCCCCTTCCATTGCTTCTGACTTTTTCTCTTCTTTTGAATAGCATAGAGCACCCTGGGGATAGTGGCAGTTGTAAGTCACAGCACGGACCCACGGACCTACAAACAGATCTGAAGGCAGCTCCTAGAGATAGGAAGGTTCTCATCTCCATCTAATATCCCTAGCCCTGTTCCCTCACCCCAGCATGGATCAGCATTGACCTGTCCAGTCTCAACTTAGTGCTCCTCACTCACACATCACCTTTCCCTACTCAGCCTCTGAGAATCGCCAAGGCTTCTTGATCACCCTCCCTGTGTTTCTATCCTTATTCCTGACACAGTCCAGGAGGCTGGGCCCTCACACACCTCCAAGGATACTACTAAGATAGTTGTAGAACAAGAAGAAAAAAGAGCCAATTCCTCTGTCAATCCTCAGTAACTTTAAGCTACTTAACCTCTCTAAAGCTCAGCTTCCTCACCCACTACCTCCTACCTGCTGGGGCTGTTGGAAATTTAAATGGAATAACACACTTAGATGAGGGGAAACTCCACACCCCTCAATAGGCATAAGATGGCCATAGTTATAAGCTGGAAAGCAACTCTGTGAAGTATATTTTCACTGACTGTATTTTATTTTATTTTTTTGGTACTGGGGATCAAACTCAGGTCCTTGTGCCTGTGAGGCAGGCAGCAGAACCACTGGGCTAAATCCCTGGCCCACTGTCTGCATTTTAAAGGTGAGGAAATTAAGGACCTAAAGGGTGGTGAGCATTGTCCAAGGTTGCATACTTTGTAATTAGCAGCCAGACTGGGGCTCAGGTTAGCTGTCTCTCTGCCCAGCCACCATTCTACACAAAGGCAACGTGTGCTTATAACCAATTCTGACCTGAGTGCACAATGTACAGTGGACCTGTGTTTACACATGAATACAGAGGGAAAGAAGCACTAGGCCAGGAGATATACCTCCTGCCTGATCTCAACACCACTGGTTTGCCTCTGCTGTAGCAATACCATGGCAGCTCCCCTCCTGAGCAGAGGCTCTCTATGATCAAGGGCTACTTTTGCTGTGCAGAATCTCTGAACTACAGTAAGAGTAATGTTGCTGAGGAAGATGGCTTTAGGGTAAAGAGGCTCTGAGGAGAGAGGGTATGCAAACACAGAGCAGCACAGAGGGAAATCAAGGAAGGGAACGCTCCTGACAACGCATGCAAAGGACATGATTGGAGTCAAGACCACTGTCTGGGGCTGTTACTAAAGGGGCTACCTGAGGCCATTCCACACTCCTAAGGCAGAGAAGCTGAGCCAGTCCCAGCACCTGGAAGGAAGCTCCCCTGCCGCCATCCCACGCTCCTAGCATAGAGGTGAGCCAGTCCCAGCACCCAGAAGGAAGCTCCCCCACTCTCATTCCATGCTCCTAGGGGAGAGAAAATGAGCCAGTCCCAGCACCCAGAAGGAAGCTCCCCCGCCACCATTCCACGCTCCTAGGGCAGAGAAGGTGAGCCACATGGGTGCCAGAAGCACCCCCCTGCCCCCTAGAAATGAGAAGTCACGTAAACAAGCCTCAAAAACAGACTTCCAGATCACCTACAGCAACCACAAAGGGAAACAAGATGGAACAATCTGATACTCAACCACCTGGACTCTCTGAACTGGCAACAAAAGAGGATCTGGGAAAAATGAAATCAGAAATAATTACTCAGA